TTTACTTGCCATATTGTGAGGTCCAGTATCAAAGGCTACAGGGACATATACAGTTTCTGGCATGAGCACAGCTGACACAGTCAACTGCCCGAAAAACAAAAGGACATTGCGCAGGATTGTGACCCGGAATAAGAAACAACTGCTGCAAAAGGGACTGCGGAGCTCAATCTTAGTCCTGTGAAGACTGAGTCCTATGTGAGACCCTGTCATTAAACCATTCAACAAAAATCTTCCCGTAACCATTGTATGTGTGTTTTGTTTTTTTTTTGGGGGGTTTTTTTCCCCTAATGCATGTTCTCTACTTGCAAAACCCCCTCTTGTGTAGACACCACTGAGACTGCTGCCTTGTCAGCAACCCCAGCAGACTTAGAAGTCATTTGAGGTGCTTTATAGTATTCCTCTTTGCCCTTTCCCTGATTGTTACAAAAAAGGGTTGTAGGGAGGTGAGGGTTGGTGGAGCTGGAAGAGCACAGTCATTAGACATTACCAGAACAGAAGGGAGGGGCTGTGCTAGGGAATTGACTCTTCCTGGAGTCGTCAGATTTTTCAGGAAGTTAAATATATATATATATATATATATATAGTAAAAGCACTCAATAAGTATTTAAAAAGCCTGAATTTTCAGTGCTTTTACCTGCATTTTTTTTTATAAGTTGTTGGGGTCTCTTTAACCACTTTATGTTCGGACACTTTCACCCCCTTCCTGCCCAGGCCAATTTTCAGCTTTCAGCGCTGTCACACTTTGAATGACAATTGCGCGGTCATGCAACACTGTACCCATATGAATATTTTTGAGACAGATAAAACTTTATTTCGGTGGTATATATTCACCACTGGGATGTTTATTTTTTTTTGCTATATAAATGAAAAAGTCCAAACATTTTGAAAAAAAGTGTTTTGGGTTTTTTTTTATAAAATTTTGCAAATAAATCTTTCTTCATAAATATCGGCCAAAATTTATTCAGTTATCTTTTTAGTAAAAAAAAAAAAAATAACCTAAATTCGTTTATAACCAAAAATTATAATAAAAAAAAAAAGTTTTACATTTTTATTTAAATTTTTTTTATATTTTTTTATTTAACATTCTGTCACCCTAGCAGTACAGTGTCACCATGGTGACACTACTACTTGTGGAGGCTGATGAAGATTTTTTTTTTTTTTTTTTAAACTGATTGCTTTTACACCCATAAAGGCTGTAAAAGAAATAATTTCTTCTCTCTGGCTGCATTCTTGCAGCCATTGAGAAACACTGTGTGAGCTGTGATTGGTCACAGCTTGTCACATGGTACAAGGCTGTTCTGAATAGCCTTGTACCATGTGACCTGATTATTCACAGATTTCACACGTAAGCAATGATGTCAGAAGTGACATCTTGCTTACACCTATTCATGTGATCACTGATTGGCCAATCAGTGATCACATGATCGGGACCTCACACAGGTCCCGTACAGCGATCGATGTTCCGCTGTGTGTGGAGGACACAGCGGGCACTGAATCGCGGTGCCGCATGCTCCCAGGGAGCGCACACAATCCAAAATGGCGGGTGCCATTTAGGAACGGCAACCCGCCCCTGGACTGCCACCGTCCAGCTATTTATATACAGCGGCCGGACAGGAAGTGGTTAAAGTGCTTGTGAACCTCACACATGAAATACTTTGTTCATATAGTATGTCCCTCTATAGTGTGTACTTGCCTCCATCCAAATCGCATAGGGGTTGATTTACTAAAAGTGGAGAGTGCAAAATTTGGCACAGCTCTACATAGAAACCAATCCGCTTCCAGTTTTTTTTTTTTTTTTCTCTCTGCTGCCCTCCTTCCTCTGCTATCTGCATGAGTCACTTCTGACAAGTTTTCCTGACACCAAGAAAAAAGTGACAGGGCAGGGAACTCCAGCACACAGCCTGTGATTGACCGTTTCAGCTCTGTTCCTGTATGCAGCGTTAAGGGTGGTGTTTCCCTCTCTCTCCTTCCCCTCCAATCAACTCTTACTGTGCTCTGAAAAGTGTAACTCCAGCTCACTACCATCTGTTTTCTGAAAGCTCAGACAAGTATTATAAATTCTACAACCTATGTTGAGCAGCACAGTGGCTAAATGGTTAGCACTTCCGCCTGCCAGTACCAGGGTTGTTGGTTTGAATCTCAACCATGGCACCACATGCCTTGAGTTTGCATGTACTCCCTGTCCCTGTGTGGGTTTCCTCCGGGTTCTCTGGTTTCCATCCACACTTCAAAGACATGGTGGTAGGTGAATTGGCTCCTGTCTAAATTGGATTGGCCCTAGTATGTGTATGTATGAATGTGAGTTAGGGACTGTAGATTTTACGCCCCTTGAGGGTTAGGGACTGATGTGAATGTACAATATATATGTAAAGCGCGGCGTAAATTAATGGCGCTATATAAGTACCTGAAATAAATAACCATGTAGAAGGATTTGTTTCATCTCTCTAACGTCTTAGGTATGTGTAAGGGTCTTTTCACATCGGTGTTCAGTCACATTTTTTTCCCAATAAAAAGTTTTTAATCGTTCACATTCACTTTTTTACATCCTTTACCAATGCAAAAAAGGACCGTATGTCCGGTTTACATCCGTTTTTCGATCGGTCCATTATTTTAAAAGAAAAATATAGGGTTTTCTCCCGTTTACAAAACCGGATGTCAACGAATGCCGAACTTTAAATATGTTGCACTGCAGATGAACGCTGCTTCCTGAGGGTGTCAGTATTTATGTGCAGGCTTTCACTTCTGGAAATCGGACTCCAGACAGCATGTGATTAGTATGTCAGAGTGAACATAGTAATAACATTGGCAACCTCTGGATTGGTTCCCAGTCTAAAGTGTGTTTGTGTGGGGGAGGGCAGGCAAAGCTGGCACTGAGAGCCAGCAGCCACAAGAAGTGTCTGCTCTCATCTTTAACAGTGTCCTCTGCATGGGGAACAGTGTGTGTGTGTGTGTGTGTGTGTGTGTGTGTGTATATATATATATATATATATATATATATCCAAGATACGCACATTTCTCACCCCAGACACCACCAAACAACTCGTACACTCCCTCAATCTCATGCCTGGACTACTGCAATTCCCTTCTCACCGGCCTACCCAAACGAACGCTATCCCCACTCCAGTCGATCCTAAACTCAGCGGCTAGACTTATCCACCTCACCAACCGCTCCACATCTGCCTCCCCCCTCTGCCAATCCCTTCATTGGCTCCCGATTGCCCAACGCATCAAATTCAAACTGCTAACCCTGACCTACAAAGCCATTCACAACGCCGCCCCAAACTACATAACTGACCTGATACCTAAATACTACCCTACCCGTGCCCTCCGCTCCTCACAGGACCTCCTACTCTCTAGCTCCCTGGTCTCCTCCTCCACTGCCCGATTGCAGGACTTCTCCGGACTTCCCCCATCCTCTGGAACTCCCTACCCCAATCCATCAGACTGTCACCTACCCTCCTCACCTTCAGGCGCACCCTGAAAACCCATCTCTTCAGGGAAGCCTACCCCTACCTCACCTAACACCCGACCTCACCTAACCTCCACTCCTCCCACCACTCCACCCCCCACAGCCATCTCCTCCTGTACCACTATCCCCTCCCTCCTAGATTGTAAGCTCGAATGAGCAGGACCCTCGAACCCCTCGTGTATTGTATTGTTACTGTCTTGTCTCATGTTCTGTCCTCCTTGCTACTGTACAGCGCTGAGCATACCCTTTGGCGCTATATAAATACTGTATAATAATAATATGTATGTATATATATATATATATATATATATATACACACACACACACACACCAACTGTGAGCAGAGAAGTGTTACATTCCCTCATATCGAGCGGACAGGTGCACTGGTGTATTTGCATACGCTCACAGCTGCACTTGGAAATGCAAACAGTGGCGCTGCTTGACTGTAAATGTAATCCTTCTGCTAATGTCTCTGTAAATAAAGTGTACGTCCAACAGAAGGATGTAAGAAACTAGTGGGGAACAGATTTTGTCTAATCAAGTCAAACATCATTTTTAGAGGGTCTGAATCTAGCATGTATCTGAGAATAAACAGGAATCGGTCTTCAAATTTGCACTGTGCAAGTTTTCAAGACCCAGGTCCGTGCCGATAAACGGCGCTCCCCACTATCAGGATACAATGATTACTACTGACAGCTATAGCAGGCGGCAGGAATAATATGAAAAAAAAAAACCTACAGGCTCGTTGTACTGAAGTTGATCGATAGATGGACTTCATTACAACCAGCCTGCTCATAGATGGATTGAAATTCGGCCAGGTCCTGCTGAACCAGCCAAATTTCGCTCCATTCACGGCTGGCTTTAGTCTGTCTTGTCATCTTGCCTTCTTATCCCTTCTTGCACTTTTTAAGATAAGATTTTATTTACCGTATTTTTTTGTTCTATAAGACACACCTTGGTTTTAGAGAAGGGAAAACAAGAAAAAAAAATATTCTGAACTAATGGACTGCAGACACAGTACAGGAGATGACCAGAGACTGCGGACATAGTACAGGAAGATGACCGGAGACTGCAGACATAGTACAGCAGATGACCGGAGACTGCGGACACAGTACAGGAGATGACCGGAGACTGCGGACACAGTACAGGAGATGACCGGAGACTGCGGACACAGTACAGGAGATGACCGGAGACTGCGGACACAGTACAGGAGATGACCGGAGACTGCGGACACAGTACAGGGAATGACCGGAGACTGCGGACACAGTACAGGAGATGACCGGAGACTGCGGACACAGTACAGGGAATGACCGGAGACTGCGGACACAGTACAGGGAATGACCGGAGACTGCGGACACAGTACAGGGAATGACCGGAGACTGCGGACACAGTACAGGAGATGACCGGAGACTGCGGACACAGTACAGGAGATGACCGGAGACTGCGGACACAGTACAGGAGATGACCGGAGACTGCGGACACAGTACAGGGATGACCGGAGACTGCGGACACAGTACAGGGATGACCGGAGACTGCGGACACAGTACAGGAGATGACCGGAGACTGCGGACACAGTACAGGAGATGACCGGAGACTGCGGACACAGTACAGGAGATGACCGGAGACTGCGGACACAGTACAGGAGATGACCGGAGACTGCGGACACAGTACAGGAGATGACCGGAGACTGCGGACACAGGGGATGACCGGAGACTGCGGACACAGCGCAGGAGATGACCGGAGACTGCGGACACAGCGCAGGAGATGACCGGAGACTGCGGACACAGCGCAGGAGATGACCGGAGACTGCGGACACAGCGCAGGAGATGACCGGAGACTGCGGACACAGCGCAGGAGATGACCGGAGACTGCGGACACAGCGCAGGAGATGACCGGAGACTGCGGACACAGCGCAGGAGATGACCGGAGACTGCGAACACAGCGCAGGAGATGACCAGAGACTGCGGACATAGTACAGGAGATGACCAGAGACTACAGACCTTTGGGGAGCAGGTACCTGAATTTGACAGGTACCCACTTCCACTGCGATCGCCTAGGCGATCGGAAGCAGCAGTTGTCCTCCCTCCCCATAGTCTTCTGGGATGCGTGACAGGTCCCAGAAGACTACGGGACCATTCACAAAGCGCAGAGCTTCTCGCGCATGCACAGTGGACACTCGGCCGTGAAGCCGCAAGCTGTCATAGCCCGGTGCCCACACTGAAGATGCCGGAGAGAGAAGATGGCCGCTGAAACCAGCGGTGATGAGGACACTGCTGTCCGAAGAACAGGTAGGAACCAGGAGCAGGTTCTGCTGCACAGAAGACCCGAGCGGCCGGCCCGGTATTCTAACACGGCACGGGGGGATACCAGGCCGGCTGCTCCATGAGACGCACAGACATTTTTCCCCATTTTTTGGGGGGGGACAGTGCGACTTATGGAGCGAAATATACGGTACTTGTCTTGCCTGTAGAAAGGGCATCTGTGTCAGGCAGTAGTGCAAGCATAACTCTTGTAGGGTGACTGCTTTGAGGATATCTGGTTGTAGAGAATCTACCAGTCCAATCCAAATGCATTTAAAGTGACTGAACTCTGTACTTTCTTTTGGTGGTGATTGATCACCTCTGTGGTTTTTTTTTTTTTTTTTTTGCTATAGAAATTAAAAGTTTGCGAAAAAAAAAACACATTGTTTTGCTTAATCTTTTTTCATAAATTTAGGCCAAAATGTATTCTGCTACTACATTTTTGAGTAAAAATAACATAAAACAGTGTATGTTATTTAGTCTGTGTGAAATTATAGAGTCTACAAACGATGGGATATATATCTGAAAATTGATCAGTTGAAACACTAAAATGCTGGATGTATGACAGATGGCAGTAATCAGGACGCTGGTCTCAGGTACAGCCCAAAAATTGACTGGACAAAATTATTGGCACCCTCAATGTAATATTTGGTAGTACTCCCCTTGGAAAAAATAACTGAAACCGATAGTTTCCTGTAACCATCAATGAGTTTCTTCAACCTCTCTACTGGAAACTTGGACCACTCTTCTTTTGCCAACTGCTCCAGGTCTCTCAGATTGGAAGGATTCCTGTTCCCAACTGCTGTTCTGAGATCTCTCCACATGAGCTCTATGGAATTGAGGTCTGGACTCACTGCTGGCCAGTTCAGTACTCTCCAGTGCTTTGTCTGAAACCATTTCTGTGTCCTTTGGGTCACTATTCTGACCCAACTTTCTGACACTGGGCCCTACATTGCACCCCAGAATTCTTTGGTCTTCAGACTTCATAATGCCATGCACATGGTCAAGACATGCAGTGCCTAAAGCAGCAAAGCAACCGAAAAACATCAGTGACCCCCCCCACCATGTGTGACTGTTGGGACTGTATTCTTTTCTTTGAAGGTCTCATTTCTTTTTCTGAAAACAGTAGAATGATGGACTTTACCAAGTCGAAAGCTGTAATTTGTTTCGTCTGTCCACAGCACATTCTCCCAAAAGGATGTTGGCTCCCTCAGGTAAGTTTTGGCAAGCTCCAATCTGGCGTTTTTATGTTTCTTTGTCAGCAGTGGGGTCCTCCTGAGTCTCCTACCATAGCATCCTTTTTCATTTAGATGGCGACGTATAGTGCGAGCTGACATAGTTATACCCTGTGCCTGAAGGTCAGCTTGAATTTGGAAGTTGATCAAGGTTCTTTATCCACCATTCGAACAATCCGTTGCAATCTTTGATCAAGTTTTTCCTCTTTCGTCAAAGTCCAGGGAGATTAGCTACAGTACCATGAGCTGTAAACTTCTTGACAATGTTGTGCACAATGGACACAGGAACATTAAGACCTGTTAATTGATACAGGTGAGTTTAATTACAAATTAAAGGAGCATCAGAAACTTGGAATGCAATTATTTCTTACAATTTTTAGAAGGTACTAATAATTTTGTCCACTCCATTTTTGGGGTTTTGCGTAGAATTTTTTAGATCTGGCTTTTTGTTTCTCCACTTTTTTGTGTCCTACCAATACAAACAAAATAAAGAAATATGAGAATGCCTAAACATTTGTAATTACAACAATTTTCTGGTTGAAGTGGTATATCATGTGACAGAAATGCAGGGCTGCCAATATTTTTGTCCATGACTGTACATGCAAAGGCTTTCTGCTTCCCATCCTGACTTCACTTTATTGTTCTTGTCTCTCTTGCAACATGAAATAAACTTTGTCAGTAATTTGCTTTCAAAAACCATATTTTTCCAGACCGCGAGTTCTCATCTACATCAATTGCAGGCTCTTAGCAATCTATCCAAGAGAGCTAGGTAGTCGTATGGAATTGTGATTGGAGGGGGGGTAAAATGTCTGCCAAATGGCATGTGAGAAGCATTTATGCACGCTATAAATTGTAGCGGTGTTCACTTTGAATACCCAATCATGCAGATGAAATAAACAGGAATCTGCTTTTCACATGATTGGATAATTGAAGTGAATCTATAGTCACTTCCTTCAGTTAATCAGTCTTAGTGCCTTGTAAATGTCTCCAGACGCCATTAGTAGTTATAATTAATTTCACTTGTTTAAAGCTGATTCTTAAAGGAAACCTACCATCTGAGAAACAGAGGATGTCACTGCTGTTTTATTTTCTGAAAATCCTAGTTGCCGTGCGAAGGCCTTGTTCACACGGGCATACAAAAGCGTACACCTGTGCGGGTGTGTATCCCTTAAAGCAGACAGTGTGCATTTAGGGACACACCCTCATGAATGCCAAATTGGGAGCGGTGACCCCAACTTGCTTGTTGGACAGTTTGAAAGCTGAATTCCAGCTTTACAGTCCCTTTAACCCCTTGCCTACCAGGCACTTACACCCCCTTCTTTACCAGGCCAATTTTCAGCTTTCAGCGCTGTCGCACTTTGACAATTGCGCGGTCATGCAAATTGTACCTATATGAAATTTTATCATTTTTTTCTCACAAATAGAGCTTTCTTTTGGTAGTATTTAATCGCCGCTGGGCACTTTTTCTTTTTGTGCTATAAACAAAAAAAGTGCAAAAAATTTGAAAAAAAAAATAAAAGTTTCTTTGTTTCTATTATAAAATTTTTCAAACAGGTAATTTTTCTGCTTCACTGATGTGCGTTGATAAGGCAGCACTGATGGGCACTCATAGGCAGCACTGATGGGCACTGATAGGCAGCACTAATGAGATGGCACGGATAGGCGGCACTGATAGGCAGCACTAATGAGGTGTCACGGATAGGTGGCACTGATAGGCAGTACTAATGAGGTGTCACGGATAGGTGGCACTGATAGGCAGTACTAATGAGGTGTAATGGATAGGTGGCACTGACTGGCAGCACTGCTAGGCATTGACTGGTGCAACTGCTGGGCACTGACTGGCACAACCACTGGGCACTGACTGGCAGCACTGCTGGGCTGCACTGATGGGCACAGGTGGGTGGCACTGCTGGGCACAGGTAGCTGGCACTTTTGAGCACAGGTGTATGGCACTACTGGTTGGCACAGGTGGGTGGCACTGCTGGGCACAGGTGGGTGCACTGCTAGGTATAGGTGGGTGCACTGCTGGGCACAGGTGGGCGCACTGCTGGGCACAGCTGGGCAGAACTGGTGGGTGGCACTGCTGGGCACTGATCATCAGGGCACTAATCATCAGTACCCTGATGATCGGTGCCGATCCCTGCTCTGACAACTGCCGTTTCTCGGCAGTACTTTCCTCACGCTCTGACAGCGTGAGGAAAGTGCAGCCGAGAACCGGCAATTGCATTTCCCAATGATCAGCGTGTCATTGGACACGGCTGATCACGTGGTAAAAGGCCGCTATGATTGGCCTTTTACCACATCACGTGATCAGCTGTGTCCGTAGGACACATCGATCATGGAGATCGCCGGGTGCGCGCCCCTGAGGGCGCACAGGAGAGTGCGTTCTGGGAGGACGTCAAATGACGCCCTCCCAGAACTGACCGGCCGCAGTGTAGCTGTCATTCGGCTATCTGCGGTTGGCAAGTGGTTAAATAGTACATGTGGGCCAAGCTGGCCCAAATGAGCTATTTTCTAAACTAAGAGATGCACCTGCTGGGAGCGCTCTATAAACTGTTCAGTTCTGGCTGGAGACAGGAAATTGTTTTCTCAAGCTTGGATAAAAATTGAGTCAAGCTGAGCAGTGCTCAGCCATTCATAGTCAACTTTGTATTCTATGAATGAATACTAAACTTCCTCTGATTGGCTGAGGCAGAAATGGTGATATCATTGGGCCACTCAGCCCGACTCTATTTTGTTCTGGGTGTGAGACAAGAACTTCTTGACTCACAGCCAGAGCACAAGGCTGTATACTGTATGTAGCTGAGGCTCCATACAGTTTATACAACGCATCCAGTGGGTTGATCTGTTAGTGTAGAAAATAGTTTGTTAGGGCTAGCTTGACCCAAATGATTTAGTTACAAGTATGGTAAAGCTGGAATTCAGTTTTAATATTGTCTCTTCCAGATGATATACTGGCTATGTTGTGTTGCCACCATCCAAGTTTGTTTCCTGGTCAGGAAAATCTAAGCAAGGATCTAGCTGTTAATTTTCCATTATGACCCTACCATTTCAACTCACCTGTGCCATCAGTCTACACTGTTCAAAAAAATTAAAGGAACACTCTGAAAACACAAAAGATCTCAATGGGGAAAATATTATGCTGGATATCTCTACTGATATGGACTGGGTAATGTGATAGGAACATACGGATGCCACATTGTTTGATGAAAATGATCAACCTATAGAGGACTGAATTCAAAGACACCCCGAAAATCAATGTGAAAAAATGATGCAGCAGGCGAGTCTATTTTGCTGAAATTTAATTGCAGCAACTCAAAATGGTCGTCAGTAGTCTGTATGGCCCCCATGTGCTTGTATGCATGCCTGACAATATCGGACCATGCTCCTGGTGACAATACAGATGGTGTCCTTGGGTATTTCCTCCAGATCTGGACCAGGGCATCACTGAGCTCCTGGATAGTCTGAGGTGCAACCTGGTGGTGTTAGATGGACCGAAACATGATATCTCAGAGGTGTCCTATTTGATTTAGGTCAGGCGAGTATGGACACCATTCAATGGTATCGATTCCTTCATCCTCCAGAAACTGCCTGCATATGCTTGCCACATGAGGACGGGCATTGTGCACCAGGAGGAACCCAGGACCCACTGCACCAGCGTAGGGTCTGATAATGGGTCCAAGGATTTCAACCTGATATCTAATGGCAGTCAGGGTGCCATTGTCCAGCCTGTAGTGGTCTGTGCGTCCCTCCATGGATATGTTTCCACAGACCATCACTGACCCACCACCAAAAGGGTCACGCTGAACGATGTTACAGGCAGCAAAACGTTCTCCACGGCTTCTCCAGACCCTTTCACATCTGTCACATGTTCTCAGGGTGAACCTGCTCTCATCTGTGAAAAGCACAGGGCGCCAGTGGTGGACCTGCTAATTCTGGTGTTCAATGGCAAATGCCAATCGAGCTCTATGGTGCTGGGCAGTGAGCACAGGGCCCACTAGAAGATGTTGGGCCCTCAGGCTACCCTCATGAAGTCTGTTTCTGATTGTTTGGTCAAAGACATTCACACCAGTGGCCTGCTGGAGGTCATTTTGTAGGGCTCCGGCAGTGCTCATCCTGTTCCTCCTTGCACAAAGGAGCAGATACCGGTCCTGCTGATGGGTTAAGGACCTTCTACAGCCCTGTCCAGCTCTCCTAGAGTAACTGCCTGTCTCCTGGAATCTCCTCCATGCTCTTGAGACTGTGCTGGGAGACACAGCAAACCTCCTGGCAATGGCATGTATTGATGTGCCATCCTGGAGGAGTTGGACTGCCTGTGCAACCTCTGTAGGGTCCAGGTATTGCCTCATGCTACCAGTAGTGACATTGACCCTAGCCAAATGCAAAACTAGTGAAAACAGTCAGAAAAGATGTCAGTGGCCTCCAGCTGTAAAACCATTCCTGTTTTGGGGGTCGTCTCATTGTTGCCCATCTAGTGCACCTGTTGTTAATTTCATTAACACCAAAGCAGCTGAAACTGATTAACAACCCCCTCTGCTACTTATCTGACCAGATCAAATCCCAGGGATTTTATTGACTTGATGCTAGACTCTGATTAAAATGTGTTCCTTTAATTTTTTTGAGCAGTCTATAACATTCCTTCTGTTCACTAAGTACAGTGCCTTGAAAAAGTATTCATACCCCTTGAAATGCTCCACATTGTTTCATGTTACAACCAAAAACGTCAATGTATTTTATTGGGATTTGATGTGATAGACCAGCACAAAGTGGCACATAATTGTGAAGTGGAAGGAAAATGAGAAATGGTTTTCAACATTTGTTACAAATAAATCTGTGAAAGGTGTGGCGGCATTTGTATTCAGCCCCCCGGAGTCAATACTTTGTAGAACCCCTTTCGCTGCAATTCCAGCTGCAAAGTCTTTTTGGGGATGTCTCTCCCAGCTTTGCACATCTAGAGGGGACATTTCTGCCCATTCTTCTTTGCAAAATCGCTCAAGGTCTGTCAGATTGGTGGGCATGACTGAGCCAGCGCCTGGGAACAGCAATAGTTTTCAAGTCTTGCCACAGATTCTCCATTGGATTTAGGTCTGGACTGTGACTGGGCATTCTAACACATGAATATGCTTTGACCTAAACCATTCCATTGTAGCTCCTGTTGGATGTTTCGGGTCGTTTCGTCCTGTTGGAAGGTGAAACTTCCTCTCCAGTCTCAAGCCTTTTGCAAACAGTTTTTCTTCTAAGATTGCCCTGTATTTGGCTCCATCCATCTTCCCATCAACTCTGACCAGCTTCCATGTCCCTGCTGAAGAAAAGCATCCCCACAACATGATGCTGCCACCAGCATGTTTCACGGTGGGGATGGTGTGTTCAAGATGATGTGCAGTGTTAGTTTTCTGCTACACATAACATTTTGCTTTTAGGCCACGTTACCAAATTTTAGTCTCATCTGACCAGAGCACTTTCTTCCACATTTACTGTGTCACCCGCTTCTTGCAAAATGGAAATGATACTTCTTATGGCTTTCTTTCAATGGCTTTCTTCTCGCCACTCTTCCATACAGGCCAGATTTGTGGAGTGCACGACTAATAGTTGTCCTGTGGACAGATTTTCCCACCCATCTCTGCAGCTCCTCCAGAGTTATCATGGGCCTCTTGGCTGCTTCTCTGATGAATGCTCTCCTTGCCCGGCCTGTCAGTTTAGGTGGATGGCCATGTCTTGGTAGGTTTGCAGTTGTGCCATACACTTTTTCCATTTTTGGATGATGGACTGAACAGTGCTCCGTGAGATGTTCAAAGCTTGGGATACTTTTTTATAACCTAACCCTGCTTTGAACTTTATCCGTGACATGTCTGGTGTGTTCCTAGGCCTTCATGATCCTGTTTGTTCACTAATGTTTTCTAACAAACCTCTGAGGGCTTCACAGAATAGCTGTATTCATACTGAGATTAAATTACACACAGGTGAACTCTCTTTACTAATTATGTGACTTCTGAAGGCAATTGGTTCCACTAGATTTTAGTTAGGGGTTTCAGAGTAAACGGGGCTGAATACAAATGCACACCACACTTTTCAGATATTTGTAAAAAATGTTGAAAACCATTTTTCATTTTCCTTCCACTTCACAATTATGTGCCACTTTGTGTTGGTCTATCACATAAAATCCCAATAAAATACATCTACGTTTTTGGTTGTAACATGAGAAAATGTTGAAAAGTTTAAGGGGTATGAATACTTTTTCAAGGCACTGTATCAGACCAGCTTTCAAGGATATGGGCCCATTGGGGACTGCCTCTAGCTATTAGATGCCTTCGTATTTTCATGATTACCCATTTGCTGCCCACTTATTGTAATATTGTAAATATTGCCCATTTGCTACCCATGTATTGTTACAATTGCCAGTTGTTGCTCACATATTTTAACAGTTGAAGTGTTACTAAACCCACAACCGTAAAATCAGTCTGTATATGCAGTAAAGCATGCTTGTTATACTCACTGCGGAACCTATGGTGTTAATCTTCCACAATGTGAAAAAAGCCTGTTTGATCCTGTCTTCTCTGATCCTCCCCTTCTCCTACTGTCCCCAATCCATCTGCTATAGTACAAAGCAGCAGTGTGTATTTTTTTTTTTTACTATGGGAGGGTGCATGTGATCAGCACAGGGTCAATCAGCGCTGTACAGAGGGTCAGGGGTCGTGCAACCTCAAAGGATAGTCAGAGGAGAATGAAAACTTCTACAAGATTAACCAGTGCTCCGCCAGACACTGATAGAAGTAACAAGACTGCTATATACTGCTGATGAGAAAAGGTTTATATTTACTAAAATAATTGCATTTCCATGTTCTGTGGAAGATATAGTGAATACAGGGTCATGGGTTTAGTAACACTTTAAATGTTGTCCGCATATTGTAAGCTGTCACCTGCGCTATCACATTTTGTGCTTGTACTTGTGTTCTACATTTAGAAATAATTTTCTCTTAGAAGTTTATCATCAACTACAGCAACATCTCTCCCTGGTGGTCTAGTGGTTAGGATTCGGCGCTCTCACCGCCGCGGCCCGGGTTCGATTCCCGGTCAGGGAAAGCAATTTTTTCTAGGCCTAATACCTGAACAAGATTTCATCTGCTCATTTATTATTACCACCCCCAACGCAGAGGCTGATTTCCCAAGAATTAAGCTGGTCATAGATGGAACGAAATTTGGCCAGTTCAGCAGGGACTGGCTAAAT